AAAAAAAAACCTATAAAATGGAAAAATTTCGAGAAAACCACCAGACAGGTGCCCGTGTATACTGACAATAATGATACCCGCACACCACCAATTGGAAAGCCGTGATCTGACGTTTGAATTTAAACGAATGATTGACAAAATTAAATCGCTGATTGTGCCCGGACTTGACCTGAATTGCAGCAAACAATTTGGCTCGCATTGAACACGTTTCCGGGTCGCACGTGACGATTGACTACTCACCCACGCTCCAGGACCAGAAGCTTCTTCGGGAGACAAAACCCGGGGTTTCCGGGACATTCGTCGTTCGCTACGACGTGGATCATTCTCCGATCGGCGAGCTTTATGTAAATTCAGTTCAGTTTCGGGAGTAACCAGAGCACATTTTAAAAGCTTCTAGGAAAACATCAGCGTTTTCCCAGAAAATAAAGCATAACCAAAAAATAAGCTCCATCGGAACATGTTTCGTGAGTAACTTCGCAAATCAAATGCACATCAGGAAAATCCATTTGATCAGTGGGTCTACGCAGAATAAAAGAACCACACAACGAAAATTTCGCATCGCATAATTTCTTGAGTAGGAAAAATTAGACAGAAAAAAATGTTTCGTCATGAGGAAAAAAGAGTCACGTGACAAAAATGTCCCGCATTGCGAAAATTGTTTTGTCAAATGGAACAAAAATTTAGGCGACAGCTGAATTTTGGAAAAATAAAATCATCAGGCCCAGGAAGCATTGAAAGAAATGATGACAACCGTGTTAAAAAATGTTTTCAAATGCACTAAAGCACATGGGAGACGGGTTCAAAATTAAAACGTTAAGTCGAACTCTACAGATTTCCAAATCAAAATTCTTTCCCCAAAGTTGCCCTCTGCTAAAAAAAAAGAAAATTGAGATGGGTGAGAATCTTTCAAAGGTCGTTGATGGATACTTCGTTCACTATTTGGCACCCGACGCAACTCCTTACAAACCAATGCCCAAACACGCGGTCTTCGTCATTGACACCAGCGGATCCATGTTTGGCTTTAAAATGGAGCAAACCAAGGACGCCATGAAGACCATCATCAAGGAATTGACGATCAACGAAGATTACCTATCAATCGTCACTTTCAGCTCTGGTGCGAGGGTACGTGTGTTTATTCCGTACTTGGATTTGATTGGAATCTTTATACTGTATAGGTGTATTTGAAAGTGTTAGATTTGCAATCTACTTTGACGGGGTGTAAAGACGCAAAGGTACGTCAACCTGTCGAGGTGTTGGTAGCTTCCAAGATATTTATTTTTAAGCCGTGGACTGATGTTTTCTGGCCACTGGCCTGCGAAATTCTT